TTCGAACACGAACCACAAGTAGCTTGAGACGGCATCACAAGCTAGAGCAAATCCAAGATGGCGGACAGAGATGGAAGTATGGCAAATCAGTGAGATCTCCGGAATTAGCCAAAGAATAGCCGCCAAATTTGCACCGCTTGGAAAATACGCCAAAAGAAGAATATTGGTGCACAATTCACACAGATAAAATGCTGCTAACACAGTAATCTGAGGCAAAAGTAGTATCCAGCACACGTTGATCCAAAAATCCGCGACGTCCGTGGGTACAGCCAATGTAATATCACTAGTAATATCAATAGCAATATCAATGTAAATATCAATAGCTTGTCAAAACGCTTGGAGCGTTTAGCTGAGCATTTTGAAAAGCAATTTAATCGGCCGGAATTGTTAGATTCCTCACCGGCCAGTGATCGCCCCGCCCCCTTCGCTGTCCCCTCTCGCCCAGTAGTCGAAAGTGAGATTGGACGGCTAAAGTTGAATAAGGAAGAGGGACCAGATGATGTTTCTCCAGCCCTCTTCGAATTCTGGGGCTCTCCCGATATTTATGATTTACACGAATTGCTAGTGAAACTGTGGGAGCAGAAAGCTGTCCCAACCGAACGAAGCCGCTGCATTATTCTCCCGATCGGCAAAAGAGGTTCGCGTTTGGAATTTGGCAACCATAAAGTCTGATCCCCATCGCATCTCAATTGCTTGCCTCTATAATCCTTCACAGGCGGACTGGCACTCGTGAAAGCCAGATTCGTGGGGAGCAAGTCGGGTTTCGTCAAAGTCAGTTGTTGGAGCACCCTCACATACATTGGCGGCCCACCGATGTCGTGTTCCTTGACATCAAAGGTGTCTTCGATTCGGTGGATCGAAGTGCCCTTTGGGACTGTGGTAAGGAAAGGTGTGCCCAAGTAGTATGTAGATATTATCCGAGCGCTATACGCGCGTATCTCTGGCAGAATGAGGACTTACGGTAAGCTGTCGCCGTCCTTCAATATCTCCAGCAATGTAAGAAAGGGATTCCCGTCATTACCTTTCCTCTTCAACTTCGCTACTGACGAAGTCACAGAGATCGCTTCCACAGGACACACCTTAGAAGGTGTGAAGTTGATCCCAGGTGAACGACTTCTTGACTTGGAGTATGCTGACGGTATTGCCCTCATATGTGACAGCTCAGAAACGTGCCGAGCGGCAGTGGACAGATTAGCACTGGCTGTCAGCCGTTTCTTTCAATGCTTTGCATCCTCGAAGTGCAAACCTATCCTCCAAGATTGGCAGGGACCGCCCCTGCGCTGACCGTTGATGGGGATAAGCTAGAAGTCGTTCAAAAGTTCAAGTACCTAGATAGTTGTATCAGCACCGTTGAGAGTGAAGACGAGGTTACAACCTGTATAGCGAAAACACGATGCGCTTTTGCTCACCTTCCTACCTATGGCGCTGGCGCGACATCACTTGCTCCCTGAAGGGTACAGTGTACAATGAAGTCCGTACCTTCGACCCTACTGTACGCTAGTAAAACCTGACCCATGAGACCCATGAGGCTAGTTACGTTCGACCACCGGTGCCTTCGCAGTTTAGCTCATATCTGGTGGGAACACCGTGTGAGCAATGAGCGTGTTCGACGCCTTGTTTATGGTGCAGGAAGAAGGAGCGAACGGCTCAGCACAGTTATTTCACGCACCAGACTCCGATGGCTCGGTCACGTGTTAAGCATGCCAGCCCACCGACTCCCGCGACGTGCGTTGTTTGCGCGCCGGGGGTGTGAATGGAAGAAGAGGAGGGGCGGCCAAGCGATGGCTTGCTTGAGAGGAATGACGGCTCTTACTTCAAAGTTAACCTTGGTTAGAGCGTTTTGGCTCCCTGGTTGGGGTCCGAAGGTGCAATGAAAATGTTTGGCTGGATACACTTGTTGACATGGCTAAGAGTCGACCTCGATGCTGTTTGTCTTGTGAGTTTCTTTGTCCCTGCCCCCTTCGCTTAGCTTCCTCCTCCAACTACGATCTCAATTAATGAGATAATATGACTGCTTTGCTGCACAATAGCGGATTGTTAGCTCTCCGGTGCGATGTGCATCCGTTACTGGTGACTCATCCGTCGTGCCTCTGCTGAGGTGTTTTCCACATGTAGCTAACATGTATAATGTGTGAATGAATGACGAAAGGCAGTTAAAAACGCAAGTCCAAGACAGCAACTGCATTAGCAAACGCCTCACTTGTTAATTGCATAAAACAAGCTAAAAGCCAATTAAATAAATGACAGGCATTCGCGTGGTGATAGCAAATAAACGGTCCTGCGAAAGCTGAGCGGATGACTTTTTGGATGAGAGGGCGACAGCGGGTGGATGCATGACCTAATTGCTCATTCATTTTTCTGAGCCTCATCACCACTGTGCATCTCCCTGTTATATCCGTTTGCCGCCCATCGACTTAAGCCACAGAGCTGTGTGTTACACTGGTAAGCCGCCATCTCCGGCTACCAGGAATATAACTTGTTGCAGATAAGCTTGTGGCCAACGAGGCCCAACACCTAGTAACCTTATCTACGCAACTTTCCTTTGCTGTGCAGTTGTGTGGATTCAGTAGACGATGAGAATTTGTCAAATATAAAACAAGTGATACCACTGCTTGGATGTTCTGACACTTTCGCTCTTGACCAGACTTAGTCAAAACGACGTATGGTTCGCTGTTTGAATCACCCCATAGACTGTGTCGTATTAAATTGAAGAACAACAACTGCGGTAGAATCAGTTCATCTGCACTTTACACTGTTGGTTAGATACCGTACTAGTAATGAGGGATACTGAGGAGATTACGGCCATAGTGTAACATCTACATGCTCTAAGCATATGTGTACTACCAATATACCCCAATTGCAATAAAGGCTCGTACTTTATTAGCCGTACGCTTGAAGGCAGGTGTCGACGGATCTACTTAGAGTCCTGATTATTTTGACTCGTGTTCTCTAAGAGGCTGGGTGATTTATCGGTACAGGAAAGGTGAACAATCGGAACCCAGCGACAAACATGTAAAGATGGAGTTGTGCACGCATCAGCCTATCGTCGTCTGCGCCTCAACGAACACTCAGACATCTTGCATGCATCGATGGACAATCGCTACCCAAAGTGGTTCGAGCTTAGGCCTAGTAGTCTCTGGTCGAAACCAGTGATTTAGTGCATGTGGGTAGTTCAAATGTAGTCCTAGTATACAAAATGCTGTATGCGACAACCCAACCAAACGCAGCGATAGAATCATAAAACTTGTGATCCGAGTTCTTTGCGGAAACCCGTTGTATCTACCTCTGTCGGTAACGACAATTCCCTTTTTTTCTATCCACTCTTGTTCTCTCCACTTTATGATGCAGTCAGTGACGAAAACCTTCTTGACATTTAGTGTTAGGGTTTGTCAACACCGAAATCCTTTCTTCTCCGTGCCCAACCGCAGTGAACGGAATGATGATGCCTTACCCCAAGGCACATTATGATCTAGATCGGGATTACGTGTTCCAACCCAAATACACCATGGATACTTCATAGCCCAATAGTGAATTCTTAACGGCCGTTTGCAGCGTCGCTCGAATGGTTTACTGGTCCTGAATCAGGCATCAACAAATAAGTCCCTGGTTCCACTCCGAACTCTGGTTGTCCCCATCTGTTGAGTCAAAACGAGGACGAAACCGTCGGTCGTAGAGTGCAGTGACGGAAGCGCGCAACACCGACTCCGACCACTTTGAATGCAGTACCAGTGATCAAAATGATCGGGGGGGCTCCGCTTCACTACACTTTGCGATCTATATATATATATATATATATATATATATATATATATATATATATATATATATATATATATATATATATATATATATATATATATATATATATATATATATATATATAAAATACTTGACCAATAAACATTGTCAGTGTGCCACAACACATGAGTAATAACAACAAAAATAAGGTGCCAGTGGAAGGGAGGCGAAGTTCCATGTGTTGTGTGGGCAGAGAGCTTCCCGGTTGCCCAGTCCGAGAAAGAGGTTTGACTTAAGGGACCCCACCTCGAGCCTTTGATTCTTAAGACCTGACCCACAAGGCAGCGGGGTGAATACGAAGACCCTTGACATCCAGGTGGCTCATTCGCCCTCTTTGTGTTCGGTTGCAGTCCACAGAGAAACCGGTCGTCAGCAAGGTTGTTCATCCGCTCTCCGTTAAATACTCACCTCCACTTACAGAAGTGAGTAGTCAGTGACTCTATAGCCGGTCACATTGACTTTGACACAGCGCCGTTCGAGCTCTTGTGGTATTTTATAGAGAACCCGTTGACTAGCCCAGAACCCCCTACGCTCTGAGGCGCTGCCGCTGATTGTCCGCGACTTCTTATTCATCTCGCCTACAAAGCAGACGAGATTTACTCGCAGTTACCTCCACAAGGAAGGCATTCCCCAATCCGCAACCTGGGGACGCGCCCGATAGCGGTCCATATCGAGACTGCGCCATGCCATCCACTTACGGTGTTTTCCCCCTACCGATTGATTGCAAACACTTCGTTACTTGTAGGTTTTTAACGGGCTTGGAATGTAGTATAAGGTTTCGTGTACTTATTTTTTTATCCAGAACAGCTAATGATTTAGTTAACGTCATTTTTCTATTTAGATCCTTCTCATCTGAACCACAGTTATCTTTCTGATCACCTGTCCCCAGTAGTTACTTTTGCTTTCATTGGTTAGCTGAATGTTCAGTTTTTATAGGCTTAACCCTATTTGTATGCGTTGCACTCTCCACCGTGTTAATCGCTAATCCGACGCATATCAGTGTCATTTTGTTCTCTCTTTCTTGCCAAAGGTTTCCTCTGTAGGGCTAACATTGGGTCACTGCTCGACACCACACTTTTCATGTTTCCATTTACAATGGACGTTTAGCGGTAATGGTTTGTTGTCTCTTCTGTCTGCGGCGCAATTTCGCTTTCCTCATTTTCCTTTGACTCCTCCTTCTCTCCTGTCATTTTGAATTCCAGCGGCGACAACAAGAGTACCGTGTGTGCGCGATATGCGGCACTGTCAATCCTCTCGGCACACTGAGTTGTTGGACTTGTGAAGGCCGCCTCGCTACCGGTATGGAAAACCTCATCCTCCACTCCACCGCGGAGGCCCACCACATCGGTCCTCCCCCGTCTCCTCCAGTGACCAAACCAAAGGAGTTCACCACTGCAACTGACATCTACCTTCCCTGTCCGCATTGTCGGCGCGAAAATAACCCAGATGCTCGGTATTGTGACTGGTGTGGTCTGGAAACCGCCAGTCTACGAGTTTTAGAACCTTTCTCCAGTGCGCCTCACACCCGACCTTACGCCGGGTCGTATGACCAACAGAGAGTCCAGTTCTACGCCGAATTCAGTTTGACATGTTCTCGATGTGGAAGCGTGAATCTCCGACACGCGCAGTTCTGTGCCTTCTGTGGGTTTCAACTCCCACCACCTGACAGGCAGTCTGTTTGGTCGACCCCAACCAGTCGTATGAGTACGTATTCAGATCGTAAATTCCCTTACTGTACACTTACATTATTGCTTTCTCATCATGCCAATTAATTCCACAACACTTCGAGGGCCTCTGCTAACTGTGGCGGACTTAAGATCTTATTTTCCATGTTGTTGATGGCTACTTGTTTTCGCGGCCTCCCCTCATGATTCTCCTCCTCCTCAGTTCAAGCCAACGAACATCACTTACCGCTGAAGCCTGACGATCGTTTATTCATCGTGATCTGTACTGTGCAGCATTCCGAATAACCGTGGCCGCTGCCTCCAAGTTCGAACAGCATCTGTTCAGCACGTAGGTAACGGAATCCATTTTCGGCCTTGTCTGTCGTAATTGCGACAAGCTACACGACATCTGAGCCAGCATAATGGCTACAGGGAGATACTTCGCGTCACGCCTAGCTCTATCTACATACTCAGTTTTAAATCCGAAGGAATATGCATGGCGGGGGAAAGCGGCAGAGAGTCAGGGTTGGTCAGAAGTTGGTCCACACTTCTTCACCATGCGTGCCATCAAGATTCAGGGAAGGACGGTTGATGGGTCTTAGTTCGTTCCGTCATGGGACTATAGTTTGGGCTAAGTGCTGTAACGAAGACTATGTATTTTGTCTCCGTTCACTAACCATTAGTAGTCTACGGGATCGAGTAATCATGGTGATCCCAGTGAACAAGTAGACGACTTTTTGGCATTGGAATCGAGCACAGTCGGTCAAACTGGTCACGGGGAATAGACGACATGCAAACAACAGCGATTCAGTCTTTGCCTGATCTATTAATGTATCGTCAGCCTCAGTAGCGGCGTGCAAGCAGCCATGTTCCCATCACCATATGCATGACAGCGCCGAGGCAAGTAAGCTTCTGATGGACGTACCAGTTACTGAGCTGTAACTGCTGTACGGCACCTAAAACCTGCTAGTCGAGAGATGTGTGGAAATTTTTGTGAGAGTAGTGTTCCAACCAAGATACTAACTCACAGGACTAAGTTACATGCTTGGCAGCCTACCAAGAAATCAATTGGAATGAATCTAGCAGCTATGTTTTGAAGCACTCAACTTTAAAATTTACTACGCTGGATTTGATCTTTCATACATCGGGCTTCTTCGCTTGATCCACTTTAAATTGGTTATGTTGTTTCTGCGCGACGATCAGCGTTTTAATTCCGGATCCGTGTGCTTTCGCGGTGCGTTAAGCTCTCCGTAATTTCCGCTCGTACTGACCAACGTCCTAATCAGTAAACTGGGAAAAATGATAATGGTGTACGAAAAAAAGAAAAGTAATTTTTTGACGGTTTCACTCTCTAATTCTCGTACTTGCTGCGCACATTCATTCCATGGTTTCCGATGGCTCAGTGCCTACTGTATGAACTGTTGCTCATATATATATATATATATATATATATATATATATATATATATATATATATATATATATAATGACACTAATCGTTTGACAGTAGCGCTGGTTATTATTAAGAGGTTGCTTCCATTTCTCTGATTACAGACTATAAGTTCTGTTCGCTTGCCACCCAGAAAACAGGGCCGAAATTTTTAAAAATGTAAGCTCGGCAGGCTCGTTGTCCCATGCAATCGATTCATTAATTGTGCAAAGCAAATTGGCGACTGCTTGCCACAACAAACCGCGGCCACCCGTCGACCAACATCGACGGACACTATCAGCCTCGAATCAGACAATTCTGTCATTTTGCCATTTGCGGTGTCAATACGTCATGATTTGCTGGCTGTTGCGCAGCTACTTGGCCTACCTTATAGACACACTCCAAGTATTTGGATTTTGTCTGCAGTCGATCGCTGGGTTGGAACGATGGTCAATCCAACGAAATAAGCTTTGAGCTTATAAGAACATTGTAGTGCTTTATTAGCATGTAGGTCAATGGATAATGCTTAAATGACAATGTTGTGAAGTGATCAGCGGTTTACCTATGGATAATTGTGGGATTCAGTTTAATCCGGACCTCAGCGGTTCCATGTGCCAACGGTTACAGCTGAATGCAGAGTACACTTACACTCTGCAACCGTTGTGAGGGCGACACTGATGTGGTAATGTTCGCGGTGCAACTCGTGAACAAGAACGAACGCCTTCGAGAGCGTCTGGAGTGACGGCATAATAATAATAATAATAATAATAATAATGTCTCAGCTGTACGCCGTAACGGCGCTTCGCTGCCGAGCGACCATCACCACGGCATATCAAGTCGCAACCATCCTCATTGTTGCCGAGGTAGTAATCTTAGCTGAGGACAAGCGTATGAGGTCATGGGCCGAGGCAATTTTTGTGAGAGCCGTTTGGGGATGGGTTCGAATATCCTCATATGCGAAGAAATCCTTTGATAATGCTGGGATGAATTAACGCCATATACACAACGGGAGGACGCTGGTCAGAAATGCGCTCCAGAAGGGCCGTTATTACGGGAGTTGACACTTTGATTCAATTGAACAGGTTCTGCTTTAGACAATAGGATTGAATATCGGTGAGATAGGCGGGTGTTCAACGACAACGATTCACTTGCCACGTTCGATCCATTGTGCTTATCACCTCGCTTTCTGCTCCCCAAACTGACGTGCTTCTGTAGAAAGGTAGCCTGTGCAACTTTTTACGCATTTTTCGTTGCGCTGCAGTCGACAATCACATGCTCCCATTTTCTTGTTCTCTTCGGTTCTTGCGCTACTCGGCTTCCTGTCTGATGGGAACCTTGTGCGAATAGTGACCAGTGATACTGGAAAATTTCTGCTGGATTCAAGCATTGCGATATTGCTCAACCAGTCTCGATTTTTTGTCACATGTTGCGCATGCCATTACGACGGTAAACATGACTTACACATTTTCGCTTACAGACGAAACCTGTAGATTAGTTACGAAAGCTCATGTGATCAGAATAGAGTGGTAATGAGCACTTCTTTAAGTCCAGTGTAAATACCATTTCTCGTGTCAACGACTGGGGCAGAGATGGCGGGGCAGTTAATCTTCCTTTGTGCGACATTTTGATTGTCGGTTTATCGGAAGGGCGACGGCAAGTCTGTAAACCATACGCATTCCGATTTGCTAGCAGTCAGCGGAATAGCGATAATTTTCTGCCTCTCATATTTGCACGGGCTCTTTAGCCGCAAAAAGATGGGTCTACTAAAAATCTGTTTTACCGAATCCTAACTTGACCGGGACTATGCCTGCACTTTAGCACTTTCACCTCGATATAGCATGAACGGACTGCGGTTACAGTTTTGCTTTGTCATGCAGGTGCTTCTAGTTATTTAAAGTATTTCTGGTACGCCGACGAAAGCGCTGTTTAAAGTAACTGAATACTGTATTGTGGGAGCAAGTAGAAGTTGGAATCTGTACAACTCCATCTAACTATTATCAAAAACATTAAAAAGCGAAAGGTATATCGTTAAATGTCGTAGATTAGGTCTCAAAAATGCGAGATGCCTGTGGGTAATTGTTCATGGAATCTAATATTTGAGAAATGTACATCCAATGATCGTTTGAATAATGGCACTGAGTTCGCTTCCACTATATGTTTGGCAAACCGTTCCGGACATTTCCCACTCGCCGTTCCTAGCACAGGCGATGGGGAACTCGCGTCATAGCTGGAAACACAATCTTGGATCGGTGTCCGCGTGTACTGCAATGCGTTCGCCAGTGGAGCAGTGGCCTTAGCATGGGGAAGTCGCCTACGTGTAGAATCCGTTAGGTCATCATGAGGTCGACATATAACTGACGGTATGCCAGGGTGAACGGCCCCAGTCTCTCGCACCTGTCTTCGTACGGTACGCCTCACAAACTGAGGATGAGCCTAGTAGCGACGTATTGAACCCGTTCAATCTTCGGCGCTTCGCCGCGAGTGGTCGGGCTATAGGTGTGCGAGCCGTACACTAGCATTGGTCTGATGACGGAGGAGAAGAGGCAAATGACAACCTCTTCAGACCAGATGCAGAAACTACGTTTGAGTGCCCAGAGCTTGCACAGTCCGTCACCATATAGCCCGTTCGTGTTATCAACGGGCTTCAAGTCGCAACGTGAGAGTACAGGGCAGATACAGTAGTATGCTGCGCTTCCGTTGGCACAAACTAATCGAGTCTGGCCTCCCCCTTGTCTCGCCATATCACAGCTAGTTACTCAGTGGGTCCGGTGGTCTTACGCACTGATTCGCTAGAGTGAGACTGCTAGTTCTCACCCTTCACCAAACGGGTAGGCGTGGCACCGCTAATGAGTCTATAAGGACCATGCGTTCATCTAGCTGCGACAATCCCTCCAGCTATTTGTTTTCCTCTTCTTCTCAATGCACTAATTCGCGCATTGCTTATTGTACCTCACTTCATACTTCACTATCCTTCACCATTTACTTTTTAACGGTATTGTTTTGATGTATGCTTAGCCAACTACAATCTCATTACCCCACCGCGTTTAACATGTGATCCGTGGTGCTTAGGGCCCTTAACCACGACTTTCACATGGCCGGAAGTGTTAGTTCATCCACCAGGCTTGTCTTGGTGTCCCCTTCTAATCACGCATCAATGTTTATCATGTTAGTGATAGACTCTGAGCTATCAAACACGAACACTTTCCAGTCGTCCACTGTCGCGTGTTTACACTTGCGTTGCGAGCCGCTCACAACGCACACAATGCGGGTCGATTCTCTGAAACCAAAAATGCCTTCAACCACACCTGTTTTCACTGTTTACATCCACAGCCTGCTATTTGACATGACCTCGGCAACGTGGGTTCCAACATGATCGCTTTTACCACTTTTGCCTAGGTCGACACTATAGTTCCGAGGTCTGTGTTCCATCCGAATCCTATTTCATTACACTCGCCAAAGCAGGACGGGTCCTATACAACATTTAAGATTTACTAATCATAATACATGTTTTTAGTGAACTTTTGTTGCAATGTTTCATCGCTAAGGTAACTTCTCTTCAACCCTACTTTTCATTTTCTGCCGATTCATAAAACTATCTTCTTTGGCCGGAT